GGCCGTAAAAGAGACCAGCTCTTCGAAAAGGTCACTTCTTTTTTAGAGGCGGATAGGGAGCGTCTGTATCCAACATAATAAGCCGTCGCTCTTTGCTTAATACAATGAATACCACCAAAAAATTCTTCTCTCATTTAAAGCTCAAGCCCAACAGAAACTAGTTTTGGGTCAGTTATTCATGTTTAGATTCAGTTAGAGATTTATTATTACTCTCTGTTTCATGAATTGCGAATTAATCCAATGTACATAAAAGTATATGGTAAAAGTATTGTCTTCAGTAAATTTAACAATAAATTAAAATTAAATATAATAAATAAAATAAATAAATAGTGATGTCACCTAGAATTAAAAGGTTTTAATAAAATTAATTTCAGAAATTTGACCAGTTTTGAAAATTTAAAAATTTTGCGTCAATTTGACGCATGAAATCAGAAACGTGATTATTTAGTAATAGTCTAATAACGTCACAAACATGAACCTTTTTTTATTAAATTTTCTTTTAAGAATTTCGATTTGGAATTGACGGAATTTACTTGAGGTAATTTTGTGTTCGTGCGGTGAGTAGCTTTTATGTTAAATTATTTTATCTTTTATTTGATTATTTATCAACATCGATTTATTCAATTCTTATATTTAATTTCATTGAATATTTATTCTTGAATATTCATCAGATCATTTATGTTTACCCTTTATTCTTGGATTATTAACATTGATATTTTGTATATTTGGCTTCGTTAGGCTTTTAGTTTACTTTCATTTGAGCTTAAACGTTTCGCTTGAACCTTTGATTTATTTTTGATATTTTTTAATTTATTTTGATATAATTTTCAGATCTTCATATTAATTTGACCTTTGATTTCATTTAATTTCGATTTGGTCTTTAATTTAATTTTTTTATTTAATTTGTATTATTGATACTATTTATCATCAAGATAAAATGTATTTACTATAAAATAACCAGCATATAAAATAAGATTACCGGACAAAACCTGGAGATTTCGATAAACATCGAAATCGAAACCGTCGAAAACCGTCGAAACCCCGTCGTCGAAACCCATCGAAATCAAAAGGTTTCGACTTTTGCCAAAATAGAAATTAGGTTTTGCCCCCGCAACCTTAAATCAATCACGTACAAAAGCGAAAGAAATTTTGATACTAAATTTCTTTCGCTTTTGTACGTGATTGATTGAATCAACTCAATAGTTACGGTTCACATCAATCATTCTTTGGTTGATTTTCTAAAAACGAGCTTTACATGAATAAAAATTCTATCAAAAAAAAAAAAAGAATAACAAAATAAAAAATAAAAAATAAAAAATTACCTTTGGCTTTTTGTGCATTCTCGTATTTGAAATATTCATCCAAACTTTGAAAATGCGAGGGTGTCGGTTGTGATGGTTGTAAGATTGTGAAGGTTGCAATATTGGCCAATTAGACCACCGGATTTATAGTCCAAGTCCAGTCAAAATAAACTTATAAAGGTGGCCAATACTGGATGGTTGAGATGGTTGTGGAAGTGAAACGGTTGTGGGTGTGGATGTATAAAGTTTCATATATTTCTTTTTTCGAGATTTTTTGTTTGTTCAGTATACAGTATATTTTGGTCCACTTTAATAAGTTATTTGTTCATTATTAGATTTGGTAAATTCGTCAATAACATTTTTTCCGGCTTCATTGATGAACTTTTTAACTTGTCACCGATTTCTTTTTTTATTATATTTTTTTGTATAGGATAATTTTCTTCCTTGTGTTTTATCATTTTTACGTGAGAGTTTTGAAGGTTTACCAATGTTGGGAAAAAAAAAAAATAAATTAATTTATATACAAAGTACACGTAAGATCAAACCACGTGATCGCATATTTTAATTTTGTCATTAGAAAAAAATTTTTTTTATTTTAATTTACAAATCAACCAACCAATGATTGTAATACAATAAAATAGTACAAATAGATAGATTGATCAGTTTATCTTATTTGTGCTCCGGGTATTTAATTCAAGAGGATAGTGAATTTTTTTTGTTATCGACGATTATCCGTGAAATTACGGTGTAATTATCCAGTACTCCACGGTCAATTAGCACGAAATGTCGAATAAAATATAATTATCATGTAATTATTCGTCTTACAGCTGAAAAAAAAATTTATTTTGATTCAAGATATAGGAAATTTTCTCTTTTTGATATCGAAATATACACATACAGTACTTCGGTTGCGACGAATTTTTTTCTTAAAAATTTTATTTATAATATTAAATTTATATCACATTAGATCATACCATTCGCTTAATGTGTGTATGTTTTATAAACGATGGGTATGTTTTCAGTATTCGTGATTCGAGTTTAATGCATCGATGTGACAATTATTCTTTTTTTTTTATTGCACTACGTGTAAAGTCAAAATTTTTACCAAAATTTTCTAATTTATTAATTATCTAAATAACTTTGCTTTCATAACAAACATATCTTTATTTTTTATGAAGTGAAGCGTCAAAATCCTATATATACCTCGATAATTCACCTTTTTTTTTATTTCTCAATAATTTTTTTATTGCATTATGTGCAACGTTGCAACGTCAAAATCTTTACAAACTTTAACTTTGCTTTTTAAAAGCCCGAACTAATCATGATCTTTTGTTTGTACGAAGTATCTATATACCACGATCAATGTCTAATTTTTTTTTTTTTTACCAAACCTTTATATATGATCTCAATATTTCTTCTTCAAATTTTTTATCAAACTTTCAAATTATTTTTTTAATATCTTTATAACGACCCCAACAATTTGTACGTGTTGCATCAAAATTGATTACAAGAGTACCTGCTAAAATGGACTAATTCCATGGTCGTTCCCCTTATGGAAATTATGCAGTTCCTACGCTTAAGGGCAAATCGCTTGCCCATGGGTCTTTAATTCTTTTTTTCCTAAGCTAAATTTATTCGTGTCGGATTATAATTGATTCTCGGTTCGGTCAAGAGATGATCATTATGGGTAATAGGGTAAAAAAAACCATAGTGAAAAATGTTTGTTCAGCCCACCTTTATTTTAGTCGTACTGTTTTTCTGTGTAAATCTTTTCCTTTTTGGGCGAGGTACGATCGTTTTGCACCGGCCCAATAATTTTAAAAAAATTAAATTCGTCGCCTCCTTAGTAATTAAAAATGAAAAAATTCGTCACCTCCCATAGCAAAATAATTAAATTGTCTCCATAAATAAATAAATAGAATAAAATGATTAAAAAAAAAAAAAATTCGTTTCCGCCGCAGCATCTCGATTAACCTGCTATTATCAGTATTGTATTTTGATAAGCAATTTTCAGCCCTTCTGCATAGAAATTGCGTTTCACGAGTCACAATTTAGGATGTATAACTCAAAAAATTACAAATAGGAAATTTATTTAAATACTTTTATAAAAAAGAGAAGTCATATTGAAGAAAATAATCGTTTGTTTGAGAAGAGAGTATGTGGGTAAAAAAATAACGAAAAAAATATTCACGACAAGGAATATTTCTATATCAAACTTTCAATTGATCATGACTAATTTGGGGATGATTGACATCTGCGTCACATGTATCGGCGTAACTTGTCAGACGTACCATTCAGGAACTAATAATATATATAAATAGAGTAATTTATTATAAATTTTTATTCAAGATCATTTATTTACTTTACGTACATTATGGTGATGGTGAAAAAAAATCCTATCCATTATTACGAAGATGGAGATGTCGTCCTTCAAGCCGAGGGTACTCATTTTCTAGTACACAAACCTTTCCTTTCACTCGCCTCGCAATTTTTTAAAGACTTATTTGCTCAATCAAAACCTAATTCAAATGAAACGGTTAAAAATACAAACGCTAATGAAAGTGAAGCCTCAATTCTTGTTCTCGAGATTATGGAAGAGAATGCCAATTCAATTCAAGATATGCTGTCATTTATTTATCCAAACGTCATATTGGATATCAATTGGGAAAATGTTGAGAATTTGTTTCGAATAGCTAATAAATTCAAAATTAAAAAACTTACAAATTCTTGTGACTTATTTCTTCAAAACAACTTGATTGAGAATATTCTTACCACTTTTAAACTTGCGGAACTATATCGCTTACCAATCCCTTTTAAAGAAGCGTCAAAGCTTATTTTAAATGATTTTCTCAAATATGAATGTGATAGCGAATACATTCAAATTCCAAAAAGAGCACGAGATAGGTTGGGTTATAGTCGTTTTGTCTATCATACTTTCTTGGATAAACTTGCTTGGCGATTGAGTAGTAAGAGGGAAACTAAGATTCAAACGGTGTGCATTTATCCTACACGAAAACCATCATTTGTATATAATGAGTTACATTCTTTTAACATCAATTTTAGTGATAAAGAAGCTGAAAATAAAGCTTTTTATAAAAGTTTTAAAGAATATCTTTTGAAATTTGAGAGGTCAAATAAAAGAGATTTGGATATGAATTTCTATTCTTTTGTTGAGTTAGAAGATGAGTAGTAGCGACCTTTTTCATTACAAAGTGCGTCATTAAATAAATACTAAAAAGTTTTATACAAGGAAGATGGATTTATAACTTTAAATAAAAGGTTGTTTTATTTTTTTTTTAAAAACTTCAGAATTCATTGGTGACTTTTTTATTATTTAATAAAGATAAAAATAAAAATTGAATAATACAATGGTGTTATAAAATTGTTTAAATTACTAGCGCTAATAATCGCTGATAATTTATTGGCAGATGTTTGTTCCATAAGTAATTAACTTCATTAAACTAGGAATGTAAAAAAGGTCTCATTTTTTCAACATTGATGGCAAAATAATAATGTCATTTACAATTTATAATAAAAATGAAGTCATTATTTCCAACACGTCACACGTGACCATTAAAATCGTACCATCATCGGTAAATTTTTACCTTTATTGGGAAACAATTGGCTAATTATCATATTTTAAGCTGAACGAAAATAATTTTTTTTTTTTTTTATTTTATCCTTACCACCGATTTTAAGATGGCGGAAAAACATCCCATCCATGATTATACAAAAGATGGAGATATAATCCGTAAAGTAGAGAATACACATTTTCTTGTACATAAATCTATCCTTTCACTTGCTTCGGAATTTTTTAATGATTTATTTACTCTTGCAACACCTAATTCAAATGAAATAATTAAAAATACAACCGTTAATGAAAGTGAAGGCTCAATTCTTATTCTCGAGATTGTTGAAGAGGATGTCACTTCAATTCAAGATATGCTGTCATTTATTTATCCAAATACAATATTGCATATCAATTGGAAAAATGTTGAAAATTTGCTTCGAATCGCTGATAAATTCGTGATCAACAAATTGTCGGATGCTTGTGACTTCTTTCTTCAAAACAACGTTGTTGATAATGTCCTTACCTCTTTTATACTCGCAGATCAATATCGTTTACCAATCCCTTTCAAAGAATCTTCAAAACTTATTTTAAATGATTATTTCAAATATGAAATTGATAGCAAATTTAAAAGAATTTCAAAAGAAACACGTGAAAAGTTGGAAGATTCCTGTTATTTTTTTCATACTGCCTTAAATAAGATTCATTTTTATTTTGGTAATGATGATTATAATAATTATTACTTAAATAATGCTGTTCAAAAGGTATGTGTTTATCCTGCACCAAATCCATCAGTTGTATATAGTGAGTTTAGTTCTATTCAAATTTTGTTATTCTCATCTAAAAGACCAAAAGCTTGAAGCAGCTAAAGTTTTTGTTAAAAGATTTAAAGATTATCTTTCGAAATTTGAAAAATTTAAAAAAGGTCGGTTGAAAAACTTCTATCCTTTTATAGAATTAGAAGATTAGAAGATAATAATATTTCTAATATTATTGAAAAAAAGAATAACTAAATAAAATTAAGATAAATTTCAAGTTCAATTTATTTAAATCATTTTAAAATGTATGATATTGATGAACTTGAATTTAGTAATTTTTTAAACCTGTAATTTAAAAATTAAAATATGAATATATTCTTAAAAGTGAAAATATAAGCTATGAATCATTCCAATTTTTTGATTATAAAGTCTTTTTTAATTTTTTTTATAAATAAAAATTTGATTTATGTAAAATGACACTTTTACGTGATTTTAAAACAAATTAAAAAAGCAACGTAGAAGTTCAAACTTCCATTTATGATAAAAACTGTAACTACCGTATTTTCAAGTAAATTTTCAACAAAGCTCAAACAAAACGATAGTTACGTACAGCTATTACTAAAGTGAGTCTTTAGAATCATTAGGAACTCAGTTTTCACCTTTTCAATTTCAATCAAAGCCTACCGTTAATCTACAAGGGCTATCGTTTCTTTCCAAAAAAAAATCTAATGGTTCATATGAGCTCAACAAACAGTTTGTGACCTACTTGATATTGCTGATTTGACGGATTTTTTAATCATAATCGTCAAGAGTTGTTCTACTAAGACAAAATGAAGATATCTCAGATTCTGCATTTCACGTATTTTGAGAAATTTTATCGTCAAAGAAGACTTCATATATAAAATTAAAAAAAATCTTGAAAACAAGTAATTCCAAAAGAATCTGATACTGGAATAACACAAAGAGCATAAAGCACATTTTATTTTTTCGAGTTATTATGAATATATTATTATTACAAAATTTAGTAAATATAAAACAAGCACATAACTATGCAAATAACTACGCAAATAACGATCTATTATTCCACAACCAATACATGGCTTCTCAATCAGTATAATCCTGTTGCGTATGCAGTATAGAACACAAATGCTCTAATTCTGGGATAGAAACCTTGAAGCCATCTGATAAAATGATATGTACTTTCTGTCACTCCGGGATCGTTAAATGAAAAAACGTGATTTGATCCTGGGTAAAAATTTAGAGAACCAACCGACGGATACGCATTAACTTTCGGTGGAACATTTTCATTAATAGTAGTAAAGTCTAGCACGACATACAAGGGATTGATAATAAATCGAATTTCCGGATGAGCAAATATATATGTCGTCAAATCTGTGCCAATTTTCATTAGAGCATCTGCTCCTTGATGATTTTCTCCAGAACCATCGATTGCGATCCTCCCCGTGAGAATTTTAGCAAGTGGAAGAACATCGCTAACTTTCCACTCTGAATCAGGTTTTCTTGAGAGAATGTTAACAGGTTCCAAGAGCAATTTTCCTGAGGATATAGAGTACTGAGTTCACCAAAAATATTCGACTATATTTAATAAGACAGAAAAACAATATTATACCTGGCAATGGTTCAGGATTCCTTTCAATAAGACAAGTATTAAAATTATTTTTATACATGTCATAAATCTCCTGAGCCAAACTAATCAAACAACAAAGTATAGTTAATACATGAGAAGAAGTGTTATTTTAACAAATTAGAACCAGCTTACATCAGTACTTTAGCTTCAGGTTTATTTTTTTTGTAGTTATTTGATATATTTTACAGGTTCAGAAAGTAAAATGGAAAGAGTTGAAAAATAATCTTAGCTAATAATTACGTGACTTAAATAAGTAACATTCAATCACATGGTTTAATATGCTATTTAATCAGATGTTAACTGTTCGGCCAATTCGATTTCGGTCTGATTTTTATCAGTTTGATTCATAGACCGATTTGAAAAGAGAGTCTAGATCGAAATTTAGACCAGAGTTTATATTCTTAAAAGATGAATTAACAAAAAAAAAATTGAATTTTTCAACAGAAAGTGCATTACGTTTTATCGGTGTTTTCAAAATAGTGTAGTACAACTTGTATGCATGAAAATCCAATTACCAATTAAGACTACCAGGAAAATGACCATGTGCCAATTAAAATATTATAAATAATTTTAATAAAGAAAGATGCGTTTTATTTTAATTTCTTAAATAAATAATAATGAATACTTCTAAGCAATACTTCATTGCACTTGTCTTTGGTTATAATAAATGTCTTCATTACGGTACTGAACTTAGTATTTGAAAAAGAGCATGTTCATGTGATATGATCTTTATCGACATCATCGTGTCTGCATTCGATCGGGAATTTATCCTGGGAAGGAACTCTGTTAATTTTGAAAAGCTGACAGCTATATAAAAACAAAGTGTGGAATTATTTAGTAGTATTTTAAGTACAAAAGAAGGGTTAGTGCGCTAAAGGTTTCCTCCTTTAACAACCGCAATACAGATTTTTTTCAATGAAAATTCATAATATTAAATAAACTTTCGCCAATTGGCATTTCTTCCTTTTTATTTTATTAAACAATCATTTTATAACATACAATGGCAGATAATAAAATAACTGAACTTCGTAGTTGGACAATGAGATGATAGTACCTATAAAATTAATTAACAAATCAAACGAGTTAGAAAACTAAGCATCATAAAGAAGTGTAGTAACCTCAAAACTATTCGCAAGGGTAAAATTCAACCAAGTAGTTAGTTAGCGCAAAGATCACTAAGTTAGCTATTCATAATTTTAAACATCAAGTAGAGATTAGATTATGAATACCAAGCCTAGCTATTGGCAATGCGACCCACAAAGTAGTTAGCTAGCTTAGTCTAATTATTCGCAAGGTGACAGTATCACCAAGTAGTTAATTAGTAATTACCAAATCTAACTATTCGCAAGGTGAGCCGTAAATTAGTTAGTTTATTTAGAACTCACAAGTCTAATCATTCGCAAGATG